GCAGCCCTGGGGCAGGCCCTTGCTCCTCTGCTCTGGAACCAGACCTGTTTAGAACCAGGCAGAGGAGCTGGGGATGGTCAATGTGGTGGCAAACCTGCACGGCCAGGCCACCTTCCTGCTGCGCCGGGGGTAACTACAGAGGCTGCATCTGTGGTGGGAGTCGCTCTCCCAAGCAACAGGCTGCACATCAGCCCTAAATAGACTTATCTTACAGACTTACAGACTTAGAGGCTGGGCAGGCACTGCAGAGAGCAGTCGGGATGGAAGCCACCAACCCACCACCATAACAAGCATCCAGAGGCCCATGAAGCCACCCTGGAGTCTCGATGGCTGATGCTCAGGTGTCCCCAGGGCACTGAACATGCGTCATGGGGCAAGAGGAGGCTGCAGAGCTGCATCTAGAGCATCTCAGGTGGGTTTAGTCACCTGGGAGGTAGTTCTGGAGCTACTGGGTCACCTGCACTGGGGACAGAAGGACCTCAAGGCATATCTGCTGTGAAAGAATCCCATCCCACCCCATGTCTGCTCCCCACAGACATGGTCTAAGTGACAGTTCAGCATCCTGTGCCACAGGAGATGCAGTTCATGCAAGTGCCATGATATGCATCAGTCCAGGCATGATGCTGGTGGGTCCTTTGCATGGGTATGGATTCATGACAATATAACAGGGCATTAAGCTTCCCTGCAGCTTGGCATTGCCAGAATCTTCCAAAGAGACTTCTGCATGTCCAGGCTGTGACATTGCCATCTGCTGAGCACAGGGAGCACACACTTGCATGTGGTAGCTTCAAGCCGATGGCTTGGCAGCAGGCAGAAGTTTTTACTGCTCCAGCATCAGGTAAGCTTCTTTCTTTGGCAAATCTGTGTTATTTGTTGACTCTACATAGGCCTGGAATGAAATCTGATGAAGGCATCTGTTGTTCCCTTGCAGCTCTGCTTTGTTGGGTGGAATGGGGATCCCGGCATGTGGGGGTTTATTGTTACTTAATTTGTAGTTGCCCATTATCAGCAACTTCTTTTAGGTGAGGCTTTTGGCATTTTACGCTCGGCATTCTTGCTGTCTGTAAAAGCAGCCTAAACCTTTCCTTCTGTTCATAAAGGCGTCTAGTCTAAATTTGAAGTCCATCCATTATAACTTCAGCACCTTGTAATCCCTCAGAGATATGTGCAATTACTCTCTGAAATATCCAAGGAGCAAAACTAATACCAAGCATCATCTGCTTAAATTTACAACATCCAAATAGCGCAGTAAAAGCCACTAGCTTAGGGCTTAGCTCATCTGAGCGCACTTGCCAAAACACATATCCTGCATCTAATACTGCTTTTGCTGCTGAGGATTTAGCTGCCACCTCAGGAATCTTCATTGGACAGCATTCCTGGTTTAAGGTTTTATTTAAATAACAGGAGTGGATGCACGTGTCCTTTGTTTGGCATTTGGGTTTCAATCACTGAACTCACCCAGTCTACGCATTCCCTGCCTTCTCCTGTTGTGTTTCTTCAGGTGCTTCAACATGAGTGTGTCTCCCATCCTTCATCCTAGGAGCAGTTCAGCCTTGATTTGTGTCAAAAAGCTTGGGATGAGGATATGGGCACTTCCCGTGCACCTGAAGCAAGCCTCTTGCATAACATGGCTCTCCTTCTCCTTTCCATTCCTTAGAGTTCAACAGCTGCTTTCGTCCAAGCCTATTGACTTCATCCCTATAAATCCAGTATGATTTTTCCATAAGGATTAGTGTCAGATTCTCCCTGCAGACATCTTAGGCCTTGGAATACAGCTGAGAGCTCTACTAATAGCTGGCTGGCGAGCCTGAGGCTTTTACAGCAATGGCTTTAAAAAACACACTTCGTGGCTAGGCAAGGTTTTAGCCCTGATGCAACCCATCTGCCTTCATGACTCGGAAAGCCAGGACCTAGCAGGGGTCCTGATAGTGTACTAGGATGTGCATATCTGCATATGAAATACGCATTATGTGGGCTTTCTTGCCCTGGAAGGTCATGGAAAGGCTGGGAGAGGAATTACCTAGATTGAACACCAGGGCTTCACAGCTTGGTGGAGCAGGATCAGGCAAGAAAAAGGAAATGTAGAGTGAAGAAATGATGAAATCTTGAAAGGTAAAACTGCCCTGTGGGAAGCATGAGTTTTGTGCCCACTGCTTTCCAGCTCTCCCTGGGCATATGTGACAGCGCAGGTTTTACACATCACAGCACTGACAGACTGAGACACTGCCCCCCAAACCATGGGGAGCTGGGCTGAAATCCATGGGCTGGGGGGGACACACCAAAAACATTCCTTCTGGAGGGGAAAGGGGCATTAGGCACCAGGTAAATGGATAAGGAAGTGAAGAGGAAGGAAACTCCAGGTACATCAGCGTGACAGTTTGAGCATTTTATTATGATATATAAATTTTGTCTTCTTAAATTATTCTCTATGAGTTGAACAGAAAGGGATTATTGTGGAGAGGGGAATATACAAAAATAAAAGGATATTGTGAACTACTGCACCACCACATATACAACAGTAAAGTACTTTACAAGCACTTAGAGAATCAGACTTACAAAAATAAAAATATGACACATCCTTATGCAATTCCACCAGTTATATGTTCTCTTCTTCCTTCTCTAACCTTCAGACACCTTTCAACCCCATCTTCAGGTCACGATTCACATAGCAGGATACTTTGCTCATTTTGATGGCCATCACAGTATCTGAAAAAGAATCAGTGCCTCCCAAGGCTTATAAAATACAATGATTATAGAGATGTTCAGAACAGATCCATCTGTGAGTGATGGGGTGATCCTCAGGAAGCAGGGTTTAGAAATATTAACATCCCACATCAAGATACATCATGTCCTATAAAGGGGTCCCCATCTCCACAGGGGCACAGCTGTGTGCATGTGTCCTTGATACGCACAGTCCCCTGCAAGCCTGGGGGACACCGTTACTCAGAGTGGGACTGAATGGCTGTGACATAGGATGGCTCTGATTTTGTTTTGGCTCTAAAGAAGACAAGGATGCCCTTTCCTACAGGAAAAAAGGCAGGCTAAAAGTACAATGGCCAAATATCCAACACACTGTTCACACACGGAACCATTCACCTCCAGATCAGATTCATGCAGCCTTTACTCTTCAGTTTGCTCTACAAAGTCTTTTGCTCTTTCACCTTCTAGTGACCTTTCCTGTTTTTTTAAGACTCACTCAACATAAATAGTAAACAGCATTCACTTCTCTGACCAGCAGCTCACTCAAACACTGCTATCAACACCCAAACCTCATTTCATCATGCCCAGAAAGTATGCACCTAGGGTGCGAATCTGTCTGTATTTCACATTGAGAGAAGTAGAGCTGGCTTAGGAACAACAACAAAGGAAAACAAAAAAGACAAGAGAAGCAGGGAACTGTTTGGTCAAAGTTGTGCTCTGCGGATTGTGCAACGTATTCCACAGATTCAGAGTTCAGTATTCAGTTGGGGTTCAATCTTTATGACCCCAAATGCAATGACCGCAATGCGGGCAGACAGCCCCAAGCATGCTTGGGTGCATTCAAGGGCAAAACAATCACAGGAATGAAAGGGATGAAGGGCAAACCCCACACCTTTGAGACAGTGATTTTCCATATTGCAAATAAACAACTTTCTTCCCCTAGAAAACAGATGCCAAAAGGGAAAGTTTCTGATCTCAAAAATAACTATTGATGGGAAATAATTCCCAGAAGCAGAGTCTGCCTTTACCCATCAGGTTTACAGGACTGTGAGCAGCACCAGGATCCTGGGAGAAATCCTGTAGCCACAGTCCCAGCTGCTGAAGGGAACTCACCTTTCTAAGCAGCACTGCCATGGTCTAAAGTAATCACTTGCACCTTTCAGAAAACAGACATGAACAAAGATACGTTGCTGAGATTAATAACACTCCATTTAGAAGAAAAACACCTCTTTGGTGGGACTGATCGCTCCTTTTAGATGTACAAACATACTACAGGTAAGGCACTTCTTGGCTGCTTGGAGTGATTCTTAATTGCCAACACACATAAACTTCAGTTTCTGGCATTTAAGCAAAAAGTGTCATCACCTTTCCCACTCATGAGCAAGATGAACTTTGGCTCTTCCACAACTGCCTAACCCAGCCACAGGGATAGGAGCAATAGGGAGGGTGGGCAGGAGGGTGGGCAGCAGGGTGGGATCTGCGCCCCAGGCAAGGGTAAAGATGTGACCCTCTGTGGTTTTCCTGTCCTCAGGAAAAACAAATTCCCTTTCCAATGCCAGCTTTCACTGGGAAGAAAAGCAGCTTGCGATGGGCCCATGGGAGACACCATGTAAGAAGGTATTTTTCAAATACTTCTACAGATCTCAGGCACTTGGCAATGTCACAGTTTGGATGTGGTCCAGGGTGGGAGCCCACCATGGCCTGTCCATGGCTACACAGCTCAAAGTGTGTTCAGCAGCCTAGAAACCCAAGCGGCTCTATTTATTCCTGACATGGCAATAGCAGAGAAGCTGCTTAAGCTCAAAGGAGCAGGAGCATGTTAGGTCATTTCTAGTCTATTTGCAGAGAAAACAAAGCACAAAGCTTCAAAGAGGTCTGGCTTGGACATGTGGGGAACCTGCAGTGCCAAGGATGCAGCTCTCCACTGCACCCTCCCAGGGGTCACATCCACCGGTGAGACCCCTGCCCCTGCATGGTGACAGACCAGGCAGTGGCTCAGGTCTCTCTCCACTGACCCTGTATTTGCACAGTGGTTTTGGGACTTCCTTTGAATTCTTTTTTTCTATTGCAGCCAATGTCTAGGAAGCAAAACTCAGAGTGGTCAAAGCGGGCAGAGCCTGCAGCTGGCCATGATAAAAGAGATTTTCTGGGGAAAACCTGTCCTCCTCAAAGGTCAGTTTGATCAAAAACTGCAGCTTTGTGCTTGGAGCAGGGGAATAATTCAACTGTTAACAGAAGAAAAGCCTGATGTATGGTCAGAACAGGGAGTCTCTGGCATCCCTTCAGCTTTGAGGTTCAGCTTTGAGGTCAGCCTGTCTCCATACTTACTCAGTGGAGGTGCCTGCAATCTAATCTGTCAACATGCAGGGATCTCCTGGGTATGAGTATTGGTCCCGCTTTTGAAGCTGGATTACGCTGTTGCTCAGCTTGGAAATCTAACCCTTTTGCTACACTCTCAAGCTGCAAGGAAAGAGCCCTCCAGAGCCCCCACAATGTACCCAGAGAGGCAGATGAGTATTTCCACTGGTCACAAGGTTCACTCACCAGCACCTGGTGAAACAGGATAGACCTCTATATAGATAGATGAGCTAACAAGTGCATCCCCACGTGCACTGCACTGGGATCACACTGACCCTAGCTTCCACAGCCCTGCTGCCTAAACTAACTCCACAGCACTCAGGTTTGCTGGTGCTCAGGGGACAAGACTTGCTTCAGGCACAATAATCCCTTTGGAGGCAGATGTTGCTTTTCCAAGCTTTGACACTGACAGTCAATGACAGCAAAGAACTGAGCGATAACAAATGTATTGTTTCTGTGTTGCTGAAGAGAATTCAACAGTAGGTGGAAGCCTTGGAAATCCTTTGAGGGATTTCTCCCTAACAATTCCTAACTCCCAAATAGAGGCAGAGTTCATCACTGCCAGAGCACATATCTTTCAGTACCAACAATGCTTCAGCAGTCAGGACTTAAGTTTGTATATAAAGACCTTGCATTTACCTCTGGTGGAAAACTTGTGCTCCACATTAAACAAGAGAACTCTGTTTCATAAAGGTCACAGTTCTGGTCCCATTTACCAAATGCCTTTTGAAACTGATGGAAAAACTATTTAAAAGTGATGGAAGTCACTGTTTAATTTTTATTATTTTAGGTTTTTCAGCTCTATTTTTTTTAAATCTCTGTGGGTTTCTGCGTCAACTGTTCTGGGCAATCAGCTACGTCTTGTTGACATTGCTAATAGGGTTTCTGACTTGGCTGTTCAGTTGTGTTCTGAAATAACTCAATCAGACTCACAGCAAGTCAGGAACAAAATGGAAAGTTTAGAAGAGGGAAAGCTGGAAATTAATTTCCGGAGCTGTGTGGTTATTTTCTAAGTCTGGGCTCTTCTGAGCAGCAAGCAAAACTTCTTGGTAAGGTTTTTGGAGACAACTCCATGCTATTTTCAAAGGCTATATATATATATGTGTGTGTGGGAATCCAGGCTCTTGCAGGCTTTCAGCAAGCTACCAAAGTGAAGAGATAGCAGATGTGATTCATGAGTGGGGGAATGGTTTACCTTAGGATGGCTGCAGTGATTCCTGCTCTCTCAGGTGTTCCCTGCTCCTTTTGCAGAGACAGCTCAGCTGTTTGTGAAGAACCTGTTGATTGCTACAACCTATTAAAGGAAAACCGGGATGGATTTGGGCTTTTCAGCCCTTCAAGCTCTACACTGAGGAAGTTTGGCTGCTCCTGCACAGTCAGTGAAGCTGTGTACACCGCGCAGGTATGCAAACTACAACCTTGCTCATGAGTTGACTTTGCACTGGCTTCTTTGAAGCTAGATAGCATCTTTCTGTACTACACTCCTCTCTGCAATAAGCCATACCCTGAAACTCAAGAGGGTTGCAAGTATGTAAAGATCCCTGTAAGTTGTGTTCAAGACAACAAACAGCATGGCACGCTTGGGCTGACAGTAGTTTTGATACAGGGTATTTGGCTCCTGAATCAATTGGGCACTTTTAGGAAAAAACCCTTCAGCTATTCAGTTTCCTCCATCTCCCCTGCACACTCTTGGCTGGGTTCACAGAAGAGGTGGCTGTGCATTGATATAAGCCTTTCTCCTACCTCTGGTTGTGCTGTGCCTTGCTATGGTATATAAACATCTAACTGCTAGCAACAGCATCATGTGCCTGTTTCCTTCCTCTTTCTCTTCGTGACAGTCCCCACTCCTCCCGTTAAGTCAGACCTGTGGTTACTGCAGTGGCATAATATTGCAGCTATCTCCGAGATGAGCTGTGGAGCAAGCTATGATGTACTGATAGAAAGAACCATTTCCTCTGCATCTAAACTCTAAGAGACATGGCTTGGTTTACGCTGGGCAGATAGGACGCTGACACTGCAGTTGGTCTTCCCTTTGCAGAGACCAAAACAGCTCCAAAGGTTACAGTGAGTCTCACCTATGTGCTAGACAAGAACTCACAAGGCAGCACTTTGCTACGGGTAACAGGGTCCTTTGTCATCTTGATTTCATCTAAACACAAGTCAAAAATAGATATGCTTGGAAAAAAAACAACAAAAATAAAATCCAGATCATGAACGTCAGGAACGTCGCAAAATACAAGCCAGCCTCTCACTGATCAAAACCATCCCATGCCCTGCAAGCCTCCTCCCAGCCAGTTCAGCCTCACCCGAGACGCGACGACGTGTTCTCCAGCCATTCGTATTCAGTTGCCATCAGTGAAGACCCAGCCAGAGACCCAGCAAAGGCCACAGCCTCCTTGAGGTCGCACGGTTGCCAGCGGCAGGGCGGATCAGAGGGTCTCGCTGTAGATGACGCACGGGCTGGTTTCCTCACAGAGTTCCAGCTGCACGCTGGAAGCAAACCAACGCTTGGCACAACCCAAGCTGTAGTTGAGGGTGGTCCGGTAAATGTTCTTGGCACGCTTTGGGAAGATGATGGTCGTGCTCTGAAACCTCAGTGGCTTCTGGCGGGGCTCAAAGATCAGCTGGGACTTGTAGTTCCGCCAGGTACAGTTGGGAGCAGCAATGATTGTCTCGCTGTAGGTGGTGACGGTGGGGATGGGGCCGTAGAAAATGTCATCCCGATAATGCTTCTCGGAGTCGTACTTCACCTCGGAATTGCACCTACAGAGGACAGCGAGGTATGAGGAACTCAGCCCAGGCAGCAAGACAGGCAGGACTCTTCTTTAACCCTTTGGAGCTGGCAGTGTTTATGACCTCTTACTGCACAGACACTGGGGCTCACCCTACAACCCAAAGCAGAGGTGCAAGAGGACTCCTTCCTGCTGGTGAACCTTAGTGGAATACCACCATACCATGATCCATCACAGCGTTTCTGCAGTGCCTATGTACAGAAGACCAAGCCTGCCTAGTCATGTCAGGGCAGAAAAGACCTTGCTGCACAGGTTCCAAGCAACCTCCTTTTTCCTCTGGTTTCCTCCATGGGCCCCACTGGGGCCTCAACTCAGCCTTGTGAGCAATACTGGAAGCCAACACCCTGTTAGCAAAGCACACCAAGAGGTGGTGAAACCCCTCAGCTGGGGTAGGTCAGAGGCTGAGGATTGGACAGTAACCCATGGAGTGTGCAGGAAAAGCTCAAAACCCCAGCAAAATGCCTGATCCAGCCTTTTCCTGACAGTTTTTAACAAGCACAGCCATGCAGCATCAACTCAAAATGCTGAGGATCCCTGCAAAACAAAGGTCTCCTGACCATTGACTCATGGTAGGTCTCACCACACTTCCTACTGCTAGTGCTACGCTTGGGGGGTTTCACTGCCCCACTGACCAGGCTGAATAGATGCTGCTGGTAGACTGTGGCCATGGGATGTCACACTGGGGTCTGGGAAACCTACTTCTCAACACAGCATGACTGCTGCTGCTTTCACAGCCTGTTGTCCATGCAAGATCTGGCTTGGCAGGAAAATAATGCCCTAAATAAGGTTTTCATAGACAGCAGAAGCATGGTGTAGTGGACACTTGCTGAGCTGTCACAGTTGTGTGTTTGTCTATTTTTCTTTATACTGCCTTGCCATCAGAGCACAAAGACACCCAAGCTAGCTAAAATCAGAGGGCTGCGAGATGGGGGTGAGGTTGCTTGTTGGAGCCTACAGAAAGCTGAAGCAATGGTCAAACAGCAGGAAAAGCAAAGAGATGCTGTGGATATGGCTGTCCATTGGTCTCGAAGTGGTCATGTTAACAGCTATCAGATGCAGACAATGGGACGTCTGCAGGCATCCGGAAGGGATGTATGGATACCAGGCCACATAAAGGTCTTTTCCTAGAATCCATGGCCTTCCACTTGTTTTCCCTTGCTCCCCAAATGCTCCTCTGGCAAGCAGCAGCCAAGGAATGTGCAGCTCCATGTAAGAAAGATTAAAAGCTGGGTGTGTGCTTGTCATTACCTCCAGCCGGAGGGGGGTGACTGATTGTGCACCACATGTAACCTGAGCTGCTGGTAATGTGTTTTGCACAGCGAGGGTGTAAGCAAGTCATTCAGCACACACAGAACAAGACTCCGATGTAATCACCATAAAAACATGCCCGCTGGCAGTTCCTCAGCAAGCAGAGATTTACTGGGGTACATTTCCAGAGAGACGTTTGCATAGGTTGCAGGGGGTGGGAACTGGGTTTACACCATCCCTGCCCCAAGCTGTGTGGAACTGCTCCATGCTGTTTGCAGAGTACATTCCACACCAGCATAGAGGAATAGAGACCAACGTTCATACACTGGCCTCAGCACCAGTCTCACAGGAGCTCAGAACGTCTCCATTAGTGGCTTAAGGGACCATCCCATGAGGAGGAGCTCATTCTACCTCTGTTGGCTGATATAAGGTTGGTTTCTCTGTAGCTAGGGCTAACAAAACCAGGTGATGTAAGTATGTGCCTCCTACTGAGGATGTAAGTCAGCAGGGAACAGGATGAAGACAATCAGGTTATTCAGTCGAGGCTATCAAGTCTACAGATGGTAATGGTTTTCAATCAGCCTTGGATTTGAACTAGCCCTGGAAGGAAAGCCCTCTCTTAAAACCTCCCTCCATTTCCTGCCTCCTCCCCTCTGCCTCTGTCAGTGCCTTTAATTCAGGCATTACTCTCACCCCTGTTCCCCCCTTCCCATCAAAATAACTGTGACTCCCATTTGTAAACATACTTTATTTTTCTGCAGAAGGAAAAGCACCAGGAAAAAGACAGAAATCCCACGTACCCACCCAATCCCATCTGTACCTGATTTCCTGCAAGGGCTCAGGGGTCACCTCAATGCTTTCTCCGAAAAACACAGGGTACATTCGAGGCCTCATCTCTGGCATGGATGGGTTCAGGAGCAAGTAAGGCATCTGCAGGGAAGAAAACCACAGCAAAGTGTTGGGACACAACAGATGAGGCTGGCACGGTTCATAATGTGCTGTGGATGGCAGCTGAGCAGCCAGCACTGAACTCCGTCTTTTGAGAGTCTTGTGGAAGTCACTGCAGGTGATTGCTTCTTTGGCAATGAGACGTGACATTGGCAGCATCAGGACCAACTTTGTTCCATACAAGCTAAGTTTGCCTTGCTTGCACTCCCAGCATCATTCAGCTCCCCTCGCAGTCCCTGTCCTTTCAGTGTTGTAGCAGGGCCCTAGGTTAGGACGTCTTCATCACACTCTTCCCCACCCTTAAAGGAAGTCAACTTGCCAAAAAACAGCCCTAAGGCAGTGAACAGGACCATTATCCTCCATCCTCACACAAAATATTTGCATTTAAGATGTCTTGACTTTCTGATCTACCTGCAGCTGTATCCATTTACACTCTTCCAGCTCCCAGGGCTGATGTGACACAGCAAGCTGCTCAGCACCCCCCAGTGCCACCCTCTCCACCTCCCTCTGCTCAGCACATCACCCAGGTAAGTGATTCTGCCCAGTTCTCTGGCACTCCATGCTGCAGTATCTGTTTGTTGAAATTAAGCCCTTCCTTCTTCCTATCTGTTCATTTCTCATAGAAACTGCAATTGTTTGGGGGTTTGCTTTAGCCCTGATGTTGCCTTCACTGTTAAGAGTCTTGCAAAGACTCAAAGTGCAGCAGCATGGAGAAGTGCTCAAAGTCTGATTTAACACATAGAGCCTAAGTCTGCTGACTTAAAGGATGTAGGTTTACTTAAGTGAGGTGTGTATATATACTTATATATATATATATATATATATTCTGAAAATGATATATCCCTTGATGAATTCTCCATTTCAAAAGTGGCTGTCATGCTCCAAGAGACATTCTAGTTACCTATGCACAACTGTGGGGTGAGACACTGGGCACCTTGTAATCTCTGCAATGCAGGAAATGAGTAGCAAGCCAGGGGGGTTTAATGAATGGAGCTGCTCCTACTCCTGACACCAAAAATTGGATTTTTAAGACTAATTACACCCTGAAGTTACTTACTCTGACACACTGTCACAGTCCAGCCTAGGCTACTCTGCCCACCACAAAAATGAGTAATCCCACTTAACATCTTAAACATCTTTCCCACATATAGGGATCCTGTGTCTGGTGTCTGGACTAAGCCCAGCAGCTAATTAAGCCTAATCCTGCCCTCGTGGAAAAATGTCACTGCAAGTTTTGGTCCCTGCCAGCACTTTTCTGTTGGAAGCAATTTATGACATACAGGGACACAGAATCTCTTTAAAGCAGATGGCTGGAAGCCTCTGTGCAGGGTTGAAAGGTCTTTACATGGCTCAAAAGCTCATGGTTTTTCCATTTTATACCAGCAGTACTTCATCAGTGTAAGTCAGTAAGATCACCTCAGGACTCACTTATGGCTGAGGATACTGCTCTTGTATTTGCTTCCTCTTCACATCCCACTCCTTTCCACCTTCCCCAGCATCTTGTGGTTGGGTAGTACAGTAAGGAACATGGGAGCTGGTTCCTACCAGCAGTGCTCTATAAGAGGTACTGCAGCTTGTACCCTGCTCTGAGAACACACAGGTCCCCAGATGCTTGCCAGGTTGTCCCTCAAATTGGTGCTAACTGGCAAAGCTCTGTTGAGTGCCCAACAGCATCAGCTCCTGCTAGCTGAGGTCTGTTTTTCTCTAGTGGCTTGGGCTTTCTGCCTCAGGCTAAGGCAAAAAATGTCACTGCTCCATCTGAATTTGCCAAGCCCTTTAGTTCTGTGTCCCAAAGCCACAAAGCTGTTTACTCTTCATACTGAAATATCTCTGTATTTTACTGCTGTGTTCAACTGTAAAGTAAAATGGCCAACCCCTCTTTTTGATTGAATAGTTCTATTCTGTTGTTAAAAAAGGACAGTATTTGCATAGGTTGGGGGGGGAAGGGGAAGATATGTTCACCCTCACTACCAAACACTGTCCAAAAGGCAAAGTTCACTCCCAGATTGCTTTCAACACTCTTGACAGGGGAGGCCAAGGGCAGCCTTTTTGGTCGTAAATAAAGCTCTTTGCTTCTGCAATGTGAATTGTTTGCAACAGCCAAGCCTTAGTTCACAAGGGTGCAGACCTCCAGCTTTTAACAGCCTGCACATGGCCAGAGCTCTTTCTAAAGACATCTTGTATGTGAGGAGAGATTCATTTGTGTGCAGGAGTCAAATACCATGTGCACATGCACTCATGGGCTCTGGGATCAGCAGACAAGCTGGCCTTCTGGGGGTTCACCTGCAAAGAGATGTGGATTGCTTTCAGTGGTAAAGGAAGAAAGGCTGGGGATACATGTCCCTCTTTCAGGAATTTGCACAGGGCAGAAAGGTGGATCTTGTCCTGTAACATGAAGAGCAGACCTAACAGTATGAATACCTCTTACTGGAAGATACTTGAATGAACTATTTTTACCATGAACCATGACTCTCATGCTGATTTAAAGTGCTTTGGGCTTTTATATTGCACCCTGAAGACAATACTGCTGACCAGGGTACAGGTTTGCAACAGGCTCTGAAGGGAAAGCTGCCACTGTTGAACTACCACTGCCTCTTCCAGCACCACCCAGATGCTTTCCAGAGGGCACCCACCCAAGTCCATGCCCAGCTCCACCCTCCTTATGTGATCCTAAGAACGTGCACCTGGAGGGCTCTGCACATCCTGCTCTCTTCATGCACTCTGGGGAGCCTCTGCAACCCTCTCCTGGGCTGGGGAGGGACAACAGTTCTCTTTAGAGTGTAACCAGCAAAGCTGGTGTTTTGCTGTTCCCTGTAACAGGCAAAATAAGTCACAGCCACCAAAGACATTTTCACACTCTGGTACCCATCACCAACACAGTGGAGAGGCAGAACAGAATTGGGAAGGCTTTCCAGTCCCAGTTTCTACACAACAGATGTTTTCAAGCCATGCTGCCAAAACTGACTGCAAACTTAAATAACCTGAAAAGGGTTGGGAGGCACTGCTCTGAGCCATAGGCATCCCAGTGTTGTCTGACTGTGTGTTTAGCCTATGGGAGTATCTGTCTTCCTTACTCCTCCTGGCCAGGGACAAGTGAAGATTGGGTAAAATGGAACCCCTGTGAATTAAGCTGCTTTTCAGATCCAGACCAACTTGCCAGAATGCCAAATAACAAACCCAGGTGGATGGTAACCATGAGCTTCTTTGCTGGAGAACACAAGAGAAATCCAGATCTCTCAGCGGTTCTGCAGAGGGTATCTGTACAGTGCAGTTTCAAAGAAGTTATTTCAGTGCTTCTAGGCAAACAAACCTTCACGCTTCTTGCTAACAGAGGCTGACACTAAGCATGTTCTAAACATCCCTAGAGACGAGGATGCAGGAGGCAAGGTCCTTCCTGTGGCTTAGCATCTGGCCCTCAGTGTTTATACAGAAACAGGCTTCAGAGCCCCTGTGCGCTGAGGGTGCTGCTCAGGCAAAGCATGGGTACAGAGGCAAAGGCATCTGTTGAAATCCTAAGTCCCACAGCAGGGAACAGGAAACAAGAGCATGTCTCAGAACAATACCAGTGCACATGGAGAAACAGACGCTCTGTCATGCATGGCTGAAATCAATCGTGAGTCAAAAAGTTGCCACTGAATGTGCTGAGAGCAGAATTAAGTCATCTCCAGGTTAGTTCTGCATGGAATGGTGATGAGACTACTTCCATTGTGGGTTTACTTTTCTCTGGGCAGGGAAGGGTGATAAAAAGCATTTCATAATGCATTTTACGTGCTGTAAACAAGCATCAACTTCAGACCTTCAGGCTTAGCTTGATTAATGTAGAGAGGTGGAACAATTGAGGACACTGGCAAGCCAAAGAAGCAACCTTTATCATATGTCAGAGACTGTTGCGGATTCACACTTCTCTACCATGAGAAGCACCGTGAGCTGCTGCAGGTCAGAAACCTTTAAGTCACCTGGAAGTCTGAAAGTGGAAGATGTAAATAACTTATGAAGCAGTCTAAAAATAGATATCACCTGTAAAACCCTGCAATCTGCTCACCAAACAAGCAACTGAATTGCTTGCATGGAGTGAAAGGGTCACTGAACAGTAAGCACAGGTTTATATAGAGGCAACCAAAAGGCATTTTGTTTCACCTCCACTGATGTTCTGAAATGTCTGCTCCTGCATCTCACCTGGAGTAATCAAGGAAAAGGGGATATGAGCTTTCCAAAACCTTTGTCTTTTGGGCTGAAATGTTATATGCATACCACGTGTCAAAAGGTGGCTTTTTGGCAAGAGTCTGAGCTGCTGTTTCTGTATCTGTTTTAAGGTAAAAAAAAAACAAAACAACAATATTCTGCCTGTCAAAAAAAAAGGTACTGACTCAATCCTTTTAACTTCTGCACAGGAATGGTTGAAGAACAACAACCTTGCACTGCTGAGCTCCCTTGGGAAGATGAGGATCCTCGGCTCATTTCTAGCTATCACTCGGCAATCTCCAGACACTGCACAAATAAGGTGAGTTTCTTTATTGCCCTGCACCACAGACAGGCTGGCTGGCAGCAGAGGTTGTTGTACCCTACTGGGGGTCACTGATGGTGAGGAGAAACTCCCATGTCTTTAGACAGGGTAACCACAAGGGATCCACAGTCGGTGTCTGTCTATCTCACAGGGCTGCTGTGCTGGAAGGCTACAGCTGGGACCTGATTAATCTGTCCCTGGTAAATGGAGATGTGCTGCGACTTAGGAGATGCAGCTCTGCAAAAGCCACCATAACACTGTTGTCTTCATGCAGGGAGGAGCCTGGTAGTCCAGGAAGGCTGAGGAGATGAAAGGGAAGACACTGGGAAGATCAAAAAGTGAGTCCCATGCATACATGTTATGGCATCAAAACAGAGCCAAAGTGAAAACTGAGTGGCAGAAATGCTACAGTTTTTATGTCCTTTCTGGTAGATAATTTGTTCCAACCAGCAAAGAGTTACTGTATTATTAAAAAGTT